GGGGCGGACAGAACCCCACCCCGACACGACGATTTGTAAATTGTTCGTTTCCGGTTCTCGACAGGGCGCCGCGGCCGTCGTTTTCCAGACCTGCGCCCGCCAGGTTTGGGCCCGAAGTTGTTTTCACTGAGCCAGGTTTAACTCAAGAGGGGCTTTGTCCATCCCCGAGGTGTTCGCCACACAACTACTGCACACTTTTTTCGTCGGCGCCAGCGCGGGGCTAATCGGGGCAACCGATAGGCAAAGTGTCCGGCGTGCAAGAGAGAGAGAGAGAGAGAGAGAGAGAGAGAGAAAAAGAGAAAGAGAAAGAGAAAGAGAAAGAGAAAGAGAGAGAAAGCGAGAAAGAGAGAGAGAGAGAGAGAGAAAGGCGAAGACGAGGGCGGTCGCGCGAAGGGAGGAGGGGGCGCTCAGACGTGGAAGAGATTCGAGTTGAGCGGGCCGGAGCGGTCAGCCAGGGCAGCGGGGACCGCAGCAGCAGCCGGGGCCGGGGCCAGGGCGCACCCGCGGGCGCTGCCAGAGCGCAGACAACTTCCAATGGACTGCTCCAGGGCCCTTGTGTGGAGGGTGGCGGTGTATAAGCCACCAGTGAAAGAGTCAGCGATTCTGTACACCGCCACCCTCACGGAAGGAGCATGCAGCGTTCGTCGCGTAGGGTGCGGAAAGATGGGCGTAGGGTGCGGAGAGATGGGTGCGAAGATCGACAGCAAGTCCTGCTCATTTTGAACCGGGTTCGCTGTCGGTGCCGCCACGGGCCTGACCCATTTGGGACAGAAGGCCGCCTGCCCAACAGCGGCCGATGTCACTTTTGGACATCATTTGTTGCTTGGGCGTCGCACTCATGCTTTCCGCACCCACTCCGGGACCCCCCAAAAAACACGAGCGGCATAAGCAGAAGCATCAGCCTTCGGCGCTCCGCGCGGACCTCTTGGGTCGGCGCTGGAGGAGGAGGAGGAGGAGGAGGAGGAGGAGGAGGAGGAGGAGGAGGAACCCCCCTGGCAGCGCCTCCGGCGCCAACAAGGACGACTCCGCGCGGAGCTCCGAGCGCGCAGGCCTGTGAAAGTATCTGCTCCTCCAGGCTCGTCGCGGCTGCGGCGGGCGGCGGACACCGCGGACGCCCTGGCGGGGCGCTTCCCCGGGGCGGAGAGGGCGACCGTCGAGGACCTGCACGAGATGATGCGCCAGGGAGCCCCGAAGACCTCCCGGCCTCCCCAACGGGGCCCGAGCAGACGGCGTCCTTCTGGGCTTCCAGGTGGCCTCTTACGGGCTCCTCGGGGGCCTGCTGGCGGTCCCGGGGGCCAGCTTCCGGGGAAGGCTCGACATGTTTGTTCGGGCTCCCCCTCTTGGGAGCCTCATGGGAACCGCTCGAGCCCTCCGGGAAGGCCTCAAAAACCCCGCGTGGTCCGACGGACCCTGCGGCGAGGCCTCTGTCTGCGGACTTCGAGGTCACCGCCAGGGCCGTCACCGCCCGGTGTTGGGATTACAGGGGGGTTTTAGGCGACAAAGTAGAACTATTCCAAAGATGCCCCCAGCATGTTCAAGCATAGACGAAAAAAAAGTCGTCCCCGGATTGATTTCTTCGCTGTCTTCGAATCTCCCCCCCCCGCAGAGGGACAGGCCCGACTTCAAATTTTAGGACCCCCCCGGTCCCCGAAGACACCCCGGGCAAGGCCCCCCCTGACCTTCCAGAGAGCTATTTTTTAGCACGGGAAACCTAAAAACCCAAAAAACTGAGCGAAACAGCTTAAAACCAAGAAACCCAAAAAACTGAGCGAAACAGCTTAAAACCAAGACGTAGAGTAGCTTCGGGATAGGTTTTTAGGTTGGGTGTTATTTTTTAGCCCTCCTGGAAGGTCAGGGCCGCCCCCGCCCCTCCCCCTGCCCCCCCGCCCCCCAGGGGGCGTGGGGGGGGGGGGCGGAGCGGCCACCGTGCGCCCCCGCGGCGCGCTCCCCGGGGCCTTCCGAGGCGCGGAGCTCCGCCCGCGCTCCGCGCTCCGCGCTTCGGCTCCGGTGCCTCCTCGCCCTGCCAGCAAGAATTTCGAGCACCAGGAAAAAGTACCGAGACTCGAGGGTTTCCACGCGTCGGGCCCTGGGAGACACTCGCCCGACACTGTTCCGACACCGATTCGGCACTCTCTCGACACTTTTCCGGGTGCTCGAGATCAGTTCTGGGATGTGGTCCTGAAGTGCGATGGGAGCAACATCATCCTCGCCCTCCTCTGTCTCCGCGGGCACCGCAACGGGTGGACTCGCTGGCGGGTGTACTCTGGAGAGCTGCCAGAAGCTGCCCCTTCAGGGGCCTCTTGCTGGCACTGCAGCGTTGCCCGCATCTGGGGGGGGGGTTGGGTGCGCCGGGTCGCTGGCCGTAAGGCCTTCCCAATGATGATAACAAGGTGTGAAATTCGCCAGCCGCGTGCTTAAATCTCGGGCAAGAGTTTCAAGCTGTTCCTAGTTCGTGCGCGCTTGGCGGCCAACGTGCCCGTTGGTGGAGTCCCCGTAAGAGGGGCGCTGATCGTCTCGTCCTGGGGCGCTGATCGTCTCGTCACATCCAGCAGGACAGCTGGGATCAATGGCGGGAGAAAGCGCTCTCGGGGGAGCAGGAGGAGGAGAAGGATAAGGAGGAGGAGGAGGAGGAGGAGGAGGAGGAGGAGGAGGAGGATGAGGAGTAAAGGAAAACGGAGGAGGAGGAGGATGAGGAGGAGGAGGAGGAAGGGGGAGGCGGCGCGAGGGCGCGGAGTGCTCGCCGATCTGCGCGCTTGTAGCGCAGCGCGCGTAGGCCGAGCGGCCGAAGGGCCGGGAGCGCAGCGCGTCGCGGGGGTCACGGAAGCGCCAGCCCCTTCCCTGGCATCGCTCGTACGTGTGCATTTTTTTCCTTCGGCGGGACCACCGGGAGCAGGAAGCGGCCATTGATGAAGTGGAAGAGGTAGGAGGGAGAGGGAGGAGGAGGAGGAGGAGGAGGTAGTCAGTAGAGGATGAGGAGGGGGAGGAGGTAGAGGATGGGATGGAGGAGGACATGGAAAAAAAAAAGAGTAAAAGGGGGGGAAGGGGGGGGGAGGAGGAGGAGGAGGAGGCCGTTGGCGAGGACCGAGGAGCATCCTCGATCATTTGGCGAAGAAGCCACGCACGAGACCCCAAAAGGAAACAGGCAATGGACGTCCGAGCGATGCCCAGGTCCTCGGCACCCCCCAGACATGCTCATGCCGCACGTGCGTCGGCCACGCAGTTGGGCGGCGCACACGCACGGAGGTGCTTCCAGTTACGAGGTCCGTGGCTGGCGCCTAGTGGCCATACCGCTCGGGAGACGATGTACACACTGTTCATGTCTGACTCTTCGGAGGTTCTTCGATTTGGGGGGGCCAAGATCCTTTCATTTCTAATTGCTCTGTCCTGGGCCTCTTCCTGGCCACTAGGGGGCCAGGAACAGTTAGAAACGAGCACACTTAGAAATGAGAACTATTAGAAATGCACGACGTGTACTGCAAGATGCTGTGCCATATGTTCGGTTCGGACGTGCGTCTCCAACAGAGGCACGTAGTACGATTGGGGAAGCGTAAGACTCGAGTAAGCCTGAACTCGGGTTTGCCGACGCTTGTTGACGACCGCGTCCCGGATTTTGACGGTCCGGTGTTCGTGGGATGGGTCTCGTCTTGACGGCAGCGGGAGCTCGCGTCAAAATTCAGATTGGGTCTCGTCATTTTCGTGGTTGGCCCCGTCAGGCCGACCCGAGTCCCCCGAACCCGAGTCTTACGTCTCCCCGATACAAGAAAAAAACGCGGTGTCGTTTTCGCCGACATTGGCGCGTAAGCTGCCCGCGTAAGGTCACGCGTCAGCGCTTTCGTTTCCATTGCAGCGTGCCGCGCTGGCGGCCCGCGCAAGCCGCCGCGTAAGGTCGCTACGCCATCTCGCGTACGACAGTTTTTGATCGTCGCCAGTATGTTCGGTTCGGACATGCGTCTCCAACCGAAGCACATAGTACCAGCAGGTCCTCGTGCGTCCCGTGCGCAGTCCATGCGCGAATCCGCCCGCCGGGTGGCCCCTGGCTGCCTCTCACCCGAGAGAGAGGGTGCCCTGGCCCGCTGCTTCTGCGGGCCTGGGCTCGTGTTGTCTTGTTTTTGCTTTGCCCCTTCCCCCTCTCCTCCTCCCCTCCTCCTCCGGGCCTCCTCCTCCTCCTCCTCCTCCTCCTCCTCCTCCTCCTCCTCCCCTCCTCCTCCTCCTCCTCCTCCTCCTCCTCCTCCTCCTCCTCCTCCTCCTCCTCCTCCTCCTAGGCGTGGGCTTGAGCTGGGGGAGGCCTTTCCCCCCAGTGCGTTTTGGCCGCCCGCGCCCAGCTCCCCTGCCCGCGGCCTCGGGCGGGAGCGAACTTCAGACTCACCAGAACCATCGCGCCATTGGCTGGTGACTGGCACCACCGAGTGGGCTACATCCTCGAGGCCTCTGCGCCACGGAGGATTGCGGCACGTCGCCTAAGAGGGCCTCATCCCCGTCCTGGCACCGCCGGCTTCGGCGTAAGCGAAGTTGGGCAAGAGGGGTTGTGAGGCTTGACGCGGCGAAGAGGCTGCTTTCATCACATCACGGGTCTGCTCAGTTCATGGGGAAGTTGCCCAAGTCTGCAGATCGAGATAATGCGAAGGAACCACGTTGGAGCTGTAAGGCTACTAGGCAGTGCGGTTTCACTCGCAATTTTGCATATACTAAGAGGTGCTATATGTGTGGACGAGATCAGAACGGGCTGCCCGGCCCGAATGGGCCGCCAGAACGAGGTTCACGAGAGAGAGCACCTTCCACACCGAGGCGGCGCAAAGTGGCAGAAGGCGACGCCAAGGACTCGGATGAAGTTGGGCAAGCACGCAAGGCATTGGCCTCCTTGCGTCGCTGTGGCCTACCAGATGAACATGATCTGGTCGTGCGCGCCCGTGTTGCTCTCACTACAGCGGAGGCTGCTGAGCGGGCACGGCGCACACCAAATGATATGTTGCGCAGCGCTTTGGACCGTCAAAGCGCCAAAGGACGTGAAGTTGAGCAGCTCAAAGAAAGCATGGACACACTCAAGGAGCAATACGACGCCAAGGTCGAAGAGCACCGTGTCGCCAGTGAGGAGCTCGACAGTATCAAGTTGGAGGTGGCCACGGCACGTGCAGCAGTTATGGGCACAGCTCGGCCAGCTCCAGACGGGACGACAGTGTCGGACGCCATGGGCAGGTTGCAGCAGGTGGTTCTGGGTGCCCCATCGGCGCTTGCAGCAGGGAACCCTCAGGCGGCTCTGGAGTCTTTCGTCACACACTTCAACCAGCTGCAGGGGGCATGGCAGCAGATGCAGTTGCAACAAGCGTCACCCCCTCTGCAGCCGCAGGTACCCGCACAAGTTCCTGGACAAGATCAAGTTGGCACTCATGCTGGTGGTATGCAATGGGAGGACCCTTCCATCGGAGCAGCCCCAGCTACACCAGGGACGTGACTTATCTTCACACATCGATATGCCGAGGCAGTTTCAGGGTCAAGTTCGTTCCTTAGATGACTTGAACCTAGTGGAGCTCACGGCAGTTACTCGCGGCGCTACTAGACAGGATGATCACACATCATCGAGAGTGGTTGCTGCATCCTCCTCTTCCTCATACTTTTCTTCTGTCCAAGGTGATGTGGGTGGCGAGAGGCCACTACGTACATCGAGGGCTTCAGCGGCAACAAATACCGTGCCCCCAAGGGTACGGCAGGTTCAGTCATCGCAAGTTTTGGAGGCGAAGGCCGACAGCAACCCTGAGCGACCACAGCGGCAGGGTCAGTTGTCGCCTGAAGTGCACACCAACAGTGGCAGACGAGGGCGGCGGGCATGCAAGCATGGCAAGCGTAAGCCCTTCACCGTGGCCACGTTCAACGGTAGTGGGTGGCCTCAACTTCAGGATTATCTCGATCAATGTCGATCACACTCACTGGTGTTCGTTCAGGAGCACCACTTCGCTGGGAACGCCAGATTGCAAGCGGAGGAATGGAGTATCAAACGCGGGTGGCGGCCATTTTTGACGGATGTTCGATCAGCGACGGGAGGTAAGTTCTCGGCTGGGGTGGGTATCTTTGTTCGGTCGCATGCTGGTGCTACACTACTCGGCGCCTTTTTGGACTACCACGTTCTTATTCCATCGCGAGCGGTGGCCATATGGGTGCACACAGGACCAAGGCACGGATTCATTGCGGCATCCATATATCTTGTGCAAGGGCAGAAGTTTGGTGGTGACAACGCTCGGCATTTAAAAAGATCGGGGCAGTGTCTGAGGTACTATGGTGCGCCCTTCATCGTTGGTGGTGACTGGAACATGCCTCTTAGTCAAGCTTCGGACGCGCGATATCACGAACGGCTTGTTGGCAGTTTCATAGGCAGCGATGAGGGCGCGTATCGCGACCCCAAGACAGGCAACTTGACCAACTTAGACTACTTCCTTGTCTCGGAAGGTTTGGCAGCCGTTATGACTAAGGTTCGTGTCACGGGAGGTTTTCCTGCCCGCAATCATTTTCCTTTGCAGGTTGAGGCTGGCCCTCGGCCACGCGCGCAGCAGGTTTTCTCTATCAAAGGGCCAGCTATCCTGCCATTGGGGCCCCATGCGAAACCTGTAGAGCACCAAGATGAGGATGAGGATGGCGCACTTCTCTTCGACGTGGAACGCGGGGGCCCAGGGCACTCCTGGACGCATCTTATGAGACAGGATGCCCATGATGGTTTCGGGGGGTCCTCAAATCATCAGGAACGGGTTGACGTGATTTGTCAACAGATCTTCAATGGGGTTGAGAAGGAATTATTGCCACTATTTCAAGTTGAAGAACCGAGTCGTTTTGTAGGGAGGTCTAGTGGCCTCGAATATCGCTATGTCACGGCGGGAGGCGCGCTTGCTCGATCCCAACCAGCAGGCGCAGCATATTCACGTGCACTTCGATTGTTACATCTGAAAGTATCGGGCGTACTAATAGCACAGCGTGACATATATGAACGACGTGTTCCAGCGTGGCAGCACTTATACGATTTCGTGCGCGGTCGTGGGCGTGATGGGCGTATACGCCGACACATACCACATCATGCGCTAGCAGACATTATATTCATTATCGAGCAAGCATGTGCGCAGCCCGTGCAGTACCGCGGGCTCATGCTCGACTTTGTCTGCAGTTTCCTTGCTCGCCTGGCCGAAGCTGAAGAGCGGCGGCTTGCCCAAGCACGCTCCAAGTCGTTTGTGAACTGGATGAGGCGTCATCTCACGAGCACCCCTGGGCCCGTTCACAAGTGGGGCCAAACCAAAAGGCTGGAAGGTTGCGCAGGTCAGGACCTCCAAGGGCCTCTCGAGTTTTCCTGGGGGCATTGCTGAAGCGCAACGGGACTCCTGGGAAACCATATGGGACGGGGGCTCTGAGCCAGTTGCACACGCAGGAGCAAGTATGTTTCAAGAAGAACCTGGCGAATTTCTTGGGGAGCTCAAAGGATTACTGGAAGCAGGTCCTCGCCTTCCCCCACTTACTGTAGCAGAATTGCGACAGGCAGCTCTGCGATTTCCGCGACGCACGGCAGTTGGACCAGATTTGTGGAGGCCCAGACACTGGGCTCTGGCGTCAAACGGCGCCCTCTCTGTGCTTGGATACATGCTTTTCCTGTGCGAGACATGGGGCTTGCGGCCACAGCTGTTATCGAGGGTACATATCGTTCTATTGTCCAAACCGTCAGGGGGGTATCGCCCCATTGCCCTTCTAACTTCCATTTATCGGATATGGGCAAAAGCAAGGGTGGATTTCGTAAGAAAGTGGGCCAGTCAATTAAATCGACACTGGATAGCCCTTGGAGCTCAGAAGTCGACTACAGATGTGGCCGCACGTATTCTGGTTCAGAGCGAGGCTGGAGGCTCGCTCGCTGGTGACACTCGAGTAAGTGTTCACAGCATTGTGGACATCGAGAAATGCTTTGACAGAATGTCATGGGCACTCCTGATTGCAGCGGGACGAGCGCATGGTTTTCCTGGACAACTCATGGTTTTGGCCGTCAGAATGTATATGAGTGGCAGGAGGTTTTCCTGGGATGGTTGTTGTTCGACGCAGGTTCATGCAAGACAGGGGGTGCTACCAGGATGTGCCTTCGCCATGTTTTGCTTGCAGTGCGTCATGCTCACGCCGTTCGACTCGTGATATGCACACACATCGCATATCTCGCGCTCGTTGCATGTGTACGCTGATGACATTACGATATCTATTATATGTTCATTGCGCAGCATAGTTTCATCGGCTAGCAGAGTCCTACTCATACTGGCTCGCCTGCTCGCGCAGGTCGGTTTACCACCAGCAAGGAACAAGATGAGCATTGCGTCCAGCATACCTGAAGTGGCTCGACGGGTGGCGGCACGGCTGCACAAATTTGGTTATGCCTATTGGAGTGCCTTGGAGGTTCTTGGGATCGAGGTGGCCTCAGGGAGGCCCCTTAAGTACCGTCGGCTTCGTGAACGGGTCTCGGTTGCCTCGAAACGAGTTCCTCGGCTTTCGAAAGTTCGGAAAGCGGGGCCCATCGTCTGCAAGTTTGTCCGACAGGCACTACCCAGTGCAATGGGATATGGATTAGGAGTACATGGGGCGCCACCACAGTTGGTAGCCAAGATGCGCTCTGTGTTTCGCTCGTGCTGGTATACACCTGGGTCGACCACCTCGGCCTGGCTGACGAGTTGCCTTCAAGGCACAGTGCTGTCCGACCCACAGGTCCAGGCCTGGACAGCCCCTCTTGTACAGTGGGCTATGCTTTGTCGGGACGTTGTGGTGACTCGTGAGGAGCTCCAGAGGGCCTGGAAGGCGCAGATCCAGAAGGTCTACTGGGCCACTCATCCCTGGAAACATGTTTCGGGTCCTGCTGGGGCTATGCTTTTATCCTGAAAGGCCTTGAAATGGACCTCAAGCTCGGCATTTGTCTGGAAGACCGACATCGGGGACATCTTGGACCTCAGGACTTCTGCGCCGTCCACGGCTCGGGAATTAGGTCAGGCTGCTGCACTCAGGAGGCTTTGGGAGTCCTGGGCAGCTCGAGGGAACCCTGCTGATGACGTTGGCATGGCCACCAAGCAGCCACTCGGGTACTGGATTGAACCCGTCGTTGACCTGTTGAAGAGATACAAAGGGGACGAGTTTGACGAATCCTCAGAGGGCGAAGATGCTGATTCTGACGGCGACGAGCAACAGGATATTAGCAGGACTCCCTGGGCCCCTTCGTTTAACGAGGCGGCGATGCTACGCGCCTTCGTAGGTGGCGGCATGTGGTCCCCGTCACGGCTTCAAGCTTGTGGATATGTTGATCGCGCTGACTGTATGGCGTGTTCGTCCACGGCTTGCACTACCCATCATATATTGTGGGAATGTATTGGCAGTAGCGGTGAAAGGATACGTCACCTTTCGGATTTAGACGACCGAGGGCTTCCTCCCAAAGAAGTTGGGTCCTGGTTCTGGGATCGAGGATTATGCCCCCGCAGTTGTTTTCCACCAGTGCCGCCGAAGGATAACTCGGGCAGGTGGATTGTCAAATACGGTACAGCAGATATGGCTAGCGGTGTCAAATTTACTGATGGAGCCTGTAACAAGTTCTGGTACTGGCCCGAAGCGTCTCGTGCGGGATGGGGGTTTGCTAAGCTGGTGGATGATAAGATTGATCTACTAGTGTATGGTGCTCTCCCTGGGCCTCTGCAGTCCTCACCGCGGTCTGAGCTATATGCCTTCTTGCAGGTTTTGCAGATAGCCGTCTTGCCTATACTAGTATACTCAGATTAGAAGGGGCTGATCGAAGGCCTCACCTGGGGACCTCATTGGTGTAGACATCCTTCTAGGCCCAATGTGGATCTATGGGGCCAAATCTGGACCAATATCGACGATCTAGGAGGCCTCTCGGATAGTTTAGAAGTACGACGCGTGCGAGGGCACCAGCGAGGCATGGACGTCTTGGCGCGGGGGAACCGATGGGCCGACGTTGGGGCGACCAGGGGGCGGGATTTGCACTCGGTTCCCCGACGGCACGTCAAGGCCATGCGGATTGCTCTGAAGTCTGTTCGGTCGGTTTTGAAATGGCAGGTTGAAGCGTTGTTGGCCTTCGCGGCACATGGGCGCGCCACCGCTGTGCCGCGACGGGGCAAGAAGCCCACTCAGGCCAGGCAGGCCAAGAGTGAAGCTGACCCCACCCCCCTCCCTCCCACCTGGCTCACGCCTTCTCGCAAGTGCCGAAGCGCCTCATTTGGAGGTGCAATTTCTGCATGAAAGGTGCCGCGGCCAAGAGAGCGAGGGATCGTCTATCTCGCATAGCTTGTTTTACCCGTGTCCTGGCGCCGAGGTCTTTCGACATGAGTTCGAGGGGGCCCCCGCGGATGGAGGGATGTGTTGCTGGTGACCAGGCCAATGCAGACTC